TAGTGGAGTAAAGCTGAAAGAAGGTGCCTTGGCACTGGACAGGACTATGGACACCTTCCAATGGAGTTGAATGGATGAAAGGTTTTCTAGCTATGATGATATCCACCACAAAAACATATCTAGGTGACTCAGGCACACCATTATCCAAACTTAGTTTTAGGAATTGGGTTCCACCTCTTCCTGTCCGGGCACACTCTACTAGATATATTGCGTGAGGCACTCCCCAGAATTCTGTTGTTTTGTCTTGAGTCTGTTAGCTTTGTTACTATGTTGCCCACCCCTCTGTTGGACTGCTTTTTGATGCCCCCACAGTCTAAAGAATTAGTTTATCCCTGAATGAACAAGAAAGAAAAGAGAAATGTTGTACTCATTATAAAATACATTGTGGGGCATAAGTCCCTCTTCTCTGCATTTATTTCATACTCTCAGCACTGCTGTTGTACAAACTGAGGCACATTGGTTGTGGATGGGGTTATTCCTTGGTGGCCAACCTTTTCTTTTGTTGCCAGAGTCCATTGATCCTGTAGGATCAATAGCAGTCTATAGTCTAATGAATTCCTGTGTCCCTCATTAGGTTAAAAGAAAAGGGTTGTACAGTGAGTACAAAAATACTATTTTCTTTCTTTTGGATAGAGAGGGGAAGGGGTTTGTTATGGAAATTCGCTTGGTTCAACGCACAAATCATTAAGCTGCGCCAAACACAAAGAATTTCCCCCGTTGTACTACGCTCTTTTGTGCGAGGACTGGAAGTATCCCTCCAGAGTCAATGTAGAGTTAGGACACAGGAGACAGATGCTGCTTGCTTGATAATCCCATGCTTAGAGACAGAGCACAGGTATGTTTATTGTTTTATACCTGCCCAACAGGAAGTGATGTCAGACAGGAAGGGATGTCTCAAACAGCGAGACAGGAAGTGATAGCAAACCAGCAGATGATTTCAACAACCAGCAAACCGGGAAGTGGTTAACAATCACTTCAATACATAATACAATAATCTATTACCACCGGAGTGTACTTTATCCAGCATTGCTCAATGATCCATGCCACATAACGTTACTGTGATTCTCATACGCGCTCATTCACAGGGACAACGTTATATTATCTCTAGCGGTTGATCAGACGCACCAGATAGAACAAACACACGTTCCTTTCATATATTGCGTTCCAAACAAATGTATCCACGCAAGCCAATAAATCCATGCATTGCATGGGGGGCCCCAGCCGGCGTCCATACATTCGCCAAGAAGACACTGCTCTGCCGCGCATAAGATATCTACTCCAATGGTTTAACCCCCAGTGCCTATTTAAACCGAGACACTGGGAGACTAATGACAAAATATTACAATACACTAAAACCACATCCTAATAAAATTTCCACAACAGGTTGCAGCCTTTTTTCACTGACATATGTTTCTCAAATCAGAAGATTTCCCCTCACTTTATAACAGGACAGGAAGTGGTATGAAATCTGTCTAATGTGGGTACAGAAAAAAAGTTTTTTAGTAGAAAAGTGAAGAGATAGAACTCCTGACAATGTTTCTTTGCTGTCTGTTCCTTGAGGAAGTAAGGGTAAATATTCCCAATGGGGCCACAGACATAAGTAAAAACCTGGCAGAAATGTTAACTCTTCCCTACTTTGGGAATTAAGCTGTAGGGACATGCAGTTAAAAAAATAAAGTTTTATTACATTCAAGCCAGCAAAAATTTGTAGGATAAGGAGCGGGCTTTAAACAAAAACAGCTCTTAATATGGCTTACTGAGTTCTCCATCCCTTCTGGGAACTTAAACATATGATGAGGTGAACCTTACCTAAAACAAAAAGCTGTGGTGTAGCAATACTTCTTAGTGGTTTCACCACAGCACATTTGGACATACAGCTGTGTGGTAGAAGTTCACATTCTCTTAAGCTCTTCCCAAACTTCAATGCCTGCCATCTTTATATAGAACCTCTGATGTGCAAAGTCCCCACAACTTAAATCTCCTAGCTTTAAAATCTGAAGGAAATGTATGCTACTTTTAGCATTTTACCACAGGACCAATCACAACATATAGACATTTTTCTAACATATGAACCCTTTGTTTTCAATATATGTTTTTACAAATATATTTAAGAACAGGTTTTTGCAGCAATTTTCATCCATGCAGGTAAAAACCTAAAACAATCATATTATATGAAAACCCTAAATTTGATTTTTTTTTTAACAGATGAAAATAAAATGTATTTTTAATGCAATCAATATAGGCACCTAAAACTACCTTAATATAATTTTCCTGTAATTGCCAGTAAAACAGTGTTGGCCCTTTGGGAGAAAAAGGGCCGACACCAGGAGCCAATCAGGCACTGCCGAATTTACATGTCCTGTCAGTAAATATGCTGGGTGAAGGAGAGAATAGAATGATCAAGAGGAATGGCCTTATTGGGGTGCTGCTTCTCATTTATTATCCAATCAGCAGACTGCAGGCGTTTCCCAAACTTACCGTTGTGCTGCAGCTGCAGAGTAGGCCTCAAATCTGTCTATGTTGTCTGGCAGGGAGCTGGATTTTCATATTTGCTGCAGAGAATTATAAATCTTTTGCCAGGAAAAACATTTCCCATATACAGTATGCACTTCAATGGTGTATTTAGTTGTTGGCTTGTAGTTCAGCTTTTATCTCCTGTCAATTTAGAAAATAGGAGTTTTGTCAACATTCTTTAAAATTATTTTAGTTGAAGGTAAGTGATTGTTTACAGTCTATCCATAATGTTTAAACTGTATGGGATTTGTACTAGGAATTTAATTGTGTGGGCATTTTAAATCCCATAGCAGGTAAATAGTTACATGCTAGAATTTTCTAGATTTTCTAGAAAAGCATATTCATGCATTCTCTGCTTTGATTTGCCAATTTGGGCCAAACAAACAAGTCAACAGGTTTGCTTCAATCCCTCTATTTCCAGCATCATATACTTGCTTTTCCACCCCCTACCGCTCCATTCAGCTCAGGGTACTTTCAGACATGAGGGAGTATTTGACTCACTCCATGTTGTAGCACCAGGGCAATCAGTGCCGTCACACAGGAATTCCATCACCCAGTGTAAGAAATTAATCTGATGACTTACAGATAATACAGGGCTCTCCTTTTGCTCCTGGCAGCTGAATGGAAGAGCAAGGGAGTGAAAGCAAGGTAAGTATCTGTAAGTCTAGAGATCTGTATAAAAAAAACCTTTGCTCTGCCCTTCACAGTAAAAGCCCAAATGAGCTTTTCAAAACATCTAAACCTGTTGCAGATTGTACACCTGGTTCTTTTAAAAGTCGCAGAATGCCTGAAAAATGTTATTATTGCAAAATACAGTGTGCCAATTGGTTATATAGACACTCTTAAAGAAGAAGTCTTACCTTATATTATTTTTCACAACGTAGTCATCTCAATCCCCCAGTGTATGTTGCTTGTTATCCCTTGCTTCTATGTGCTCTACACAGTGAGATACAGACTTTGACAGTTCACTCCTCTTCACTCCTGACCACTGTACCTGCACTTTCCTGACACAAGTGAGGTCACAAGAATGCAGAGGGAGGAGGGCGCTCTCACAGAAATCAGCACAGGCATTAGAACTGGAAGGGAAGCCTTGTTTTTTATTGGAAAAATACAGACTGTGAGATAAGAGCAGTCAATCAAGAGTCCGTCTCCTTTGCATAGCGTAGTCAAGAATGAAGAGGAGTGAGCTGTCAAAGCAACATAAATTTTAGGACTTAGATGACTGAGCTATAAAAAAAATAATACAAGGTGAGACTACTTCTTTAAATATCCCAGCCTATGAAATGTAGGTAGAATCCAGAAGCATTCTCTGCATTGAATACTCTTTATTGCAGCATACCAAAGAAAATTCAAAAGCTGGAGTGTTTAATTGTTTTTAGTAGGGATGCACAGAAACTTTTCGAGTACCAGTGCCGATACTTGGCATTTTCATGAGAACTACCAGGGTTGCAGCGGTTGCAGCTGGGACCTAGCTCTAGCACTCCACCACTGTCCTGAAATCATTAGTCTGTATTGCTTTAGAAAAACTGTCACATAACAATAAACAAAAATGTATCAGTACTCGTACTTGTAAGTACCCGGCAAGTACCAGTACCCGTACTCGCAAACCTGGTATCTGTGCATCCCTTTATTTATATTTATAAAAACAAAATCGTACATTAAAACAGAGATGCACAAATCCCAGGAGCTTCGTGTGCTCCTTACAAATGACAGCTGCCTCCTAATTTTTGAATGTTTCTCTAGTCTAGTCTTGGAGCTCAAAAGTATCGGTACATGTACTGGTACTTGTACCGAGTACTGTACTTGGTATCTGTGCTACCCTAGTTTTTAGCCTTTGAGTTCTTCTGGATTCTGTCTTCATTTAATAAGTTGCAATACATCTTATACCAAATGAGCACCAGCACCCAAACCAGTTAACAAGTTGCATAAGTGTAATCTCTTGTGTTGCAAAGGCAGTCAATTATATGTGCCAAATATTTATGAGCCTTATCAGTTTTACTGTCTGCAGTGTTATTGGAAAAAATTACTGATACATATATTTTGTATAATTATAAGGTGCTATATAAGAGACTTGTTTGACGTAGTTTTTCTGTGTGCTGCTTTGCTTTATTTTAATTGTATATGTGAATATTAAAAACACTTGGAGTAGGGCAAGTTTTGTTTAATGCTAGACCTATATTAAAAATGACTTTCCAAGTTAAAACATTTCAATAATAATTTAAAACCTGTACTATATTTTCTATACAGATCCTATGAAAAATATTTAGCAAGAGTCATATCTTACACATTTCAAGTACATGACTCTCCAGATAAAACTGTTAAAGCCCACATGTCTTTAAATCCATAACATACATCTGTCCATTATATATTGTGAATTGTATTGATTTAGAACTGAAAAGGTTAAACATTTAATGATGTTTTGCTGCACACACACACACTAAATTTCCCCTATAGTGTCATATTTTGATACATTTTATATGTTGCAGAGCTGCTTTCAAATGCTGGTGTCAGGCCCTTGATGAAACACTCAACATGTCTGATGCTCTTAATTCATGGCAAGAACTTGATGGTTCCCCAGACAGCCTAAGCAGCGAAAGATCTAAAGATTACAGTGAGAGATTTCTATCCCAAGCGGGAATTTGGGGTTGTTTGCTGGCTGCTGTCATTGCTTCTAAAATGTCTCGGTAAGTATTAAAGAGAAAAAAAAAATCTTGATTTATTTTTATTTATCACATAATGTTTAGTGCCCAGAGGGGAGCAATAAGCTTCTCCTGGTACATGCTGAGGAAATAAACTATTACGGTATAGGAAGTGCAAAACTTTTCTGCAGCAGCAGTTCGGTTAGCTGAAAGCTTTCTGTATTCTTGGTTTATGCATACATTCTGTCATAAAAAAGAATACGCTTTTTAACTGTAATGATTTACTCAGTAGAAGACGTATTTTTGTACAATATATTTTGCACTTGTGACTATATATTGTATACACACACGCAGAGGCTACAGTCTGTAAGGAAAGAAGTATACTTTGGGGCAGGGGGGTTGTCCCATAACCTCTCATGTCACAGACAGACAGGTTTCTTTTACCTCCCGACACACTTTTTTCTCTTTCATAAATGTTCTCGAGGCACTTCTAATAGAAAATTAGTAATATGTGCATGCTTAGGCTATACCAGTGCATTATGAGACTTGTAGTTCCACAACAGCTCAAGTGGCGGTGGTCCCTACCCCTGGTATAGGTAAAGTGTAGGCAGACAAATCGTATACATACATTAAGTGTGAGCTATCTTATCTGCCAAAAAACGTCAAATTTTGTTTAGCTAGTCTCCTGCTCTAGATACCCTGCCAGAAACTATACAACATCCTGACCATTTACTTTTCTCTGCAAAATCAGGATAATACAAATCTGACTTTAATTGTATAGTTGACCTTTTTACCCCATAGTTCTCTTAAGGGTTACGGGAGGACATATACTGACCACCTCCCGTGACCCAAAGCACACTATACAGCTCGCTATGTACTGAGAGCGCCGCAGCCGGGACGGATCCCGACAATACTGTCGAGATCCACCCAGCTGGCTGATTGACAGCGGGCTCTACCTGCCCCCTCCCCTATCCGTTCCTCCAGTCAGCCCTGGAGGATCGGAGAGGGCAGGGGGGGAATCCCAGTCAACCCTCTCTGCAGATGATCAGAAAGTGAGCGAGCGACGGTATGTGTTCACTCACTTCCCGATCAATGGAACTGACCTGTGACAGTTTCAATGTCTCCCATCGGCTCTAACTATGAGGATGAGTGGAAATCACTCACCTAATAGTTCTCCTTTCAAGAAGAACTCTGGGCAGAAATATTCTTAACCCTTGCAGTAAGCTATCCCCGCACTGCAGCGGTTAAGTGCTTGTCTTTTATTTGAGAGTCCTGGGACTTACTACTTACAGGTAGAACACTTAGAGCTTAGAGGTTTCCACCTCAGGAGTTTCTTGGTGGGAATTATGCAGATTGATCTGGATCTAGCATTTGGCTCTCAGCACTTTCAAGGGCCAGGTTGCCGCTCTGCCTATCTGGTTATCAGGTACTGATGGTGATTTAGCATTATATACAGGGAGTTTCTCATGTAGTTCTGACTCGTCATACTCCTGTGACTCCATGGGATTCTATGTCAGCCACTACTTTTTCAGGTAGACTGATATTGTTTTTTTTTTTTAATCATGGATGGACCCCATAAAAGTACACTGGTTCCTCTGTCCACCATCTCAATGTGACTCAGGCAGATCATCCACTCCAAATCCACTTCTGTGATAGACTACAATCTCAATACAAATAAACTAAATGTGAGATTCTAGTCCATCACAGATGCAAGCTTGGGCTCATGGCTACTTTACAACACACAGAGGGACTATGGTGAACAAAAGTAGGTACCCTCCAGAAAAAAGGAAAGTGTCAGCACCAATTCAGAGATGATTTGAGGATCTACAAAGAAGTGATACACCAATGATCTACATTTATGCTAATAGTTAAGGAATTAACGATTCAAATGTTTAAGATATAACTGTTTAGGATGAGTTTAATGGGACTTGAAAGTAATTTTTATTTGACTTGCATATTTTACAAGATTGTTGTTGTATTAAGCAATAAAATATGTTGATTAGCACCTAAAGGAAGTTTTCAGTGATAAAGTGCAATCTCTCTCTCTCTCTCTCTGTCTCTCTCTCTCTCTCTATCTATATCTCTATATGATGTGGTGATAAATCCTGTCTAGAGCGCAGTAAAATGATCCTTCTATTCCAGCAATAAAGTGATCAACCTTTTTACAATCAGTACTCATCCAACCTTTAAACTAGCTATAAAAACGTGTTGTACAGTGTGAAATGTAGATGTGTGAAAAGAATTAAAACTCAGTGCCTTGGTATGATATTGTCTCCATTGTGCCGACTGAAAACTAGTCAAGACTTGAAAATCCAAAAGCCACAAATGATGTTATGCTTGGCTGCTTGTTACTTTTCAATGCAAATAAGATGATGACATTTACATTTTACTTTTATCTGTTATATTTCTACTTGAAGGGTTTGTCATGAAGTACAATGTTTAGATCGAAGAATTCACTTTAGGACTCCAGGGATTCATACTAGTTCTAAAGATGTGTTTAGATGAAGCACTGAGATCTTGAGAAATGCTGAATTAAGTTTTACTTGCTTATAAAAGGACATTACATCAGAATATAGCATTATACAGCATACAGAGAGAACTTCGTGTTATATATATAAATTCATCTGTGTATACAGCGGTTTTAAATATTAGTGTGCCGATTCAATAAATGATTACATCATCCAAATGGAGTATGAGGAATATACTCCAACTCCACATTCCCAATTTATTTTTCTTATAATAAAGACCATAATTATACTATTGTCCAATATGCCATCACAGAAATATGGTATTTTTGCTCACTCCCAGATTTTCACTGCTGATGTCTAGTCATTTAAAGTCTAGGAAGAAAAATCTGATTATGAGCTGTAAAAAGAGGAATGTGGGCAGTGGTTAGCGCTATTGTTTGCAGAACTAGCGTAGTGGGTCTGTTTTACAACAAAGTCCTGTGGTTTCTTCCACAATCCAAATGCATACTGGTAGGTTTATTGGCTTCCACCTAAATTGGCCCCAGTAAGTCTGTGTATAGGGGTAGGTACAATAGATTGTAATCTCTTTAGGAGGCAGTGAGTAGATCAATGTTGTCAGTAAAATATCACAGAAAAAATGCCAGTTCTGTATAAATGAATAATAGAAAATCATTTTTTTTAAATTGACAGTATTGACAGCAATTATGTGATAGTAAATTGGCAAATTTAGTTTTTGACCAAGTCATGATTACTGGAACATAAGATGTTGTTTCTCAACTTTCTTGTTATATGCCCTTTTTGCAGTTACATCTTGACATCAAATGTCAGAAAGAGAACAGAATGCTGTCTGTTCTCAGCTTTACTTTTCAAGGTAAGACACTCATTTGTATTTCATGTGTGAAAAGTAATGTCATCTGATAAAGAATGATGTAATATGCAACGTCTGTTTTCATCTCTAGTCATTGTTTTACGTGTCCCTGCCTCATCCAGAGGAAGACCTTGATTATGCAACATATGAGATTGGGGAAGGATGTAAGATAACTGAACTTATTCCAGGGATTGACCTGTTTTCTGATCGGCACAGAGCAGATGTCAACACTGTTGTCTCCAGTCTGGGTTTTCTTATTTCAGAACTTTATTCATTTGCTCAGAATCTCATGGTTAGTACCAAGTTAAAAAAAAAATCTTTTAATAAATATGCTGATATTCTTCATCTCCAGGTTTGTTTTTCTGTATGAATTCTTGATTCAGTCCTTTGCCCCTGAAAACAATAACGTTATTGTTAATAAATAATGTTTTTTCCTTCTCCAGCTGCTGCGGTTA